AGGCAGGGCTGGGTGAGTCTCTTGGCTGCCGCCCTTGGCTGAGGACTGGCCTGCCCTCCTTAATCCTGCCAGCCTGCCAGTAAGGGCTCAGGGGGAAGCATCTCCATGTGGCACTCCTGTAGCTGGAGTCAGATAGTCCCTCAAGGTCCTGCAGACCTGGAGGACAGGAGGTGCTGGTGAGGGGAGGAGACAGGGTGGGCAAGAGGATAAAAGGAGTGGGCTCCTGAGCGGATGGGCTCAGCAAGAGGAATGGGGCTCAGTGTGGGGGAGGGGCCCATCCAGGGGCAGAGGCTCAGTGAGGGGAGGGGCTCAGTGGAAGTTGCTGAGGAGTTTCTCAGTACTGCAGTCTCTGTACTGCCCCAGGCTCCTGAGGATGGTGGTTGGGTTGGGGGTGCCTGAGCACCTTGAACCCATCCATTTGCATCTCCCTGCGGGAGGCTGAGAGCCAAAAACTCCTATTCCTACCTCTTCCCCAAGCTGGAAATGTGGTATATAGAGCTGCAGAGAAAACTGGAATCTGCCTCTCCTTTTGCTCATCTTCCTTCCTGGTTTCCATGGGAATTGTGGCTTGGATGATTGAGCTTTGACAGGATGGTGTTGTGGGAGGAGTCAGCAACAGGCAGAGCCATCCCACTTGGGAAAGGGTTGGCTATGAAAAAAGTAAGCTTCCTATCCCTGGAAGTGTGTAAGTGACATCTGGATTGCCAGTCAGAGTGACTTCAGAAAGAGGTTCAGGTCGGGGAAGGCCATCAGGAGGCCTCTGCCCTGGGACAGCCAGGCTTTGTGTGATTGGCCCAGGTGGCCCACCTTCCAGATGTCGTGTGTCTCTTTGAAGAGGTCATCATGTCCTGGACTGTACTACTGTGCTCCCAGATGCAGCCCCTACTCCTGCCTTTCTGGGCCCAGCCCCACGCTGGGCATGGACACATGGAGCTGAATCAGACCAGCATCTTGCTGAGAGAACACTGGGTCTGATAGGGGAGGCATACAGGGAAACAAATACACCTGGGCAAATCCTACCTAAAGGGGCAGGCCCGGTTGGGAGGAAGCTTCTACCACTGATTCCTACAGTTGACAAATGTCTTTTGGAGCAATTCCTCTGGATTGAGCCTTGTTCTAGGTGCTAGAGTCATACCAATGAGCAAAACAGGTGAGTCCTGTCCCCTGGAGCTGACAGCATAGTGGGGAGGCCAAGCATGTTACAAAGTACAGAGGAGTGATGGATAGTGGGGTTGGAGGACTGGTGAGCTGTGAGGGGTGTGGCTAGAAGGCACACTGTGGGTGTGGCAGGAAAGGAGGTTTTTCTGTAGAGGTTAAAGTCCTTGAAGGCCAGGACCAGGGCTCCTGAGGACAATGGGGAGTCATGTGGGTGTGGGTGTGGCAGGGTCAGACTTGGGTAAAGAGAAAATTACTCCAGCAGGTATGGGCATCAGGAAGCAGGAGGCACGGTGGTCCCCATAGGAGACACTGGGACAGGCGTTCCCACCTGTGCCTCTGTGTGTAGGAGCTGGGTGAGTGTGTGTATGGGGATGTGTGTGTACAGGAGTGTGTGTGTATGAGTATAGAGTGATGGGAGCGTGTGTGTATCTATGGAAAGATGGTGAGTATGTGTGTGATTGTGGCCTGGGGCAGCCTTGTGTGGCAGAAGGGTCTTGGGGTTTGGAAATACTAAGGGGCAGATACCAAGTCCTATGGTATGCCAAAGCCCAGTTCCCTGGACCTCAATCCCAGTGAGAGCTGGCAGGTTCTGGACTAGTCTTGGACTAGAATACTGTGGGTTCCCTTCTGCTCTAAGGTCATGGAGCTGGCCATCTGCTGCAGACAAGACAAATGTGTATGCAAATGGCATGGAAACAATATGAAAATGAGACCTGTGGCTGCCACACCCTGTCCCCTCATCCCCTGGGCCTGAGTTCACTCAGAGCAGCTTCTGGGGCCCTGGGAGTAAGCCCTGCCCACCCAGAGCCAAAATCCATATTGTGTCCAGCACCTGCCTTCTGCCAGATCCTTTCTGGGTGAGGGCCTCCTCCAAATCTGGGGCCAGAGCCAGCAGACACCCATATCAGGGCTAGTGACCACGGCGACACCTCTGTTAGGTGTGAATGTGAGTGCACATTTACTCACACATTTACACATATATTCCCACATGAATGTGCCATATGTAGACACTTGTTCACACATACAACTGTACACACATACCTGCATGTGTACATATACACAAACCTGTACACAGACACATACCTGTCTTGTGTACACACACACACATTCCTGTAAATATATACACATCTGTGAACACACGCAAGTTCACTTAACGTGGAAGTATCACACATCCGTACAAAGATAAAAACTTACAAAGCTGTTCCTACCTTCATCCGTATTATGCTCACGGACCTGGGTGCCAGGCCTTACGCATTTACACACACACACACACACACCTACCTACGCATTTGTACACACACACACACACACACACACACCTACCTACCTACCTACCTACCTACCTACCTACCTACCTACCTACCTACCTACCTACCTAAGGGTGGCTCACAGCATGCCCTCTCCAGGGATGAAGCATTGAGGACAGGCTCTAGATGGATGCAGAACCCACGGAGATGTCAGCTTCCTCCAGGAACAGGCCTTTGCTGGGCCTCTCGGATGGGGGGTCCCTCATTTAGTCTGTAGGCTCCATTGCAGGAGCACAGAGAGACTGAGTCACTGCACTCTCTTCTGAGGAGTCTGCCATGTTGGGATCTGGGCCTTGCGCACATCCTTGGGTCTGGCATGCCCAGGCAGGCCTGCCTGCCTGCCTAGGAGAGCTGCTGTAGCCCAGCCAGCCCTACCTGGATCCTGCCTCCCTCCACCTGAGCCACCTGCCCCCTCAAAGAGCACGAGCCAACCTTTGTGGCTGCTAAGTCTGAGGCCAGATAGGGCCAGAGCCTTGCCTAAGGTCACTCAGCATGTCCTGGCAGGGCTTGGTTTGAGCCTAGGCTTCTGCGAGTCTGACATAGTTAGCAGCAACAGGATAGATGCATGTCAGGCACCAGACAGGCTCATGGAGGAAGGACACAGGTCCAGGGGATGGGAGCAGATTTGGGGCCTGTTTAGGGTCTGCCAGTGCCCTATTCTTAGATGGAGAGATGGTGAGCAAGAAAATCGCCACCAGTTCTGGGTGAGGGAGTGCTTTGTATGCACAGTGGCCCACAGAGTTGTCATTATCATTAGGAACAAGGGAGGGCCAGTTCCCAGGCAGGGCCTAAGGTTGAGCGGGCCCAGAACCCAGGGTGACAGGCTTTCAGTTAAGTCACCTTTTCCTAAAATACCCAGTCTAAGGCCACTGAGCCCAGAGTGGCCTGTAAGGTGGGGAGAGAAAAGAGGTGGCTAGAGGGGCTGGGCCAGGCAATCTTGGGGCTGGGCCTCCTTGTCGCAGAGATGGGCAGAGGGTCCAGGGACTGGGAGCACAGCACCCTTGGTCAGTCACTGCATTGTTGGGGACAAAAGGAGAAGTGGGAAAACCTGTTTTTCTCACATGCCTTTCCTCAAGAGGTGGAACATGAATCTGAAGCACAGATTGGAGCCAGATGGCCTGGGTTTGATTTTTGGCTCCACTACTTACTAGCTGTGTGACTATAGGCAAGTGACTTAGTCTCTCTGTGCCTTATCTGTAAAGTGTACCTAATAAAAGATCCTACTTTATTTCTGAGAAGATGGAATGTGAGGCACATGGCAAGTGTTCAATAAATGTTAAAGCCCCTCAATCATAGAGCCCCCAGCCCTAGATGTTCACATTCAGTCTTTAGGGGTCAGCCCTGACAGATACTGAGGTATCTAAGATGGGACAAGATATAGCTAGTCCAGGGTTCTCAAACCTGTCAGCAAATTAGAATCACCTGGGAACATTAAAAGATATCTGGAATGGGGGTGTCCCAGGCATAAGCCAGGGTGAGAACCCAGCACCGAATCACAGAATCTAGAGTTGGGGAGCAGGGACCTATTGGAGACTGAAAGAGTTCTAGCCTTGGATCTCCTAATCTGAAGGAGGTCACTTCCTGGCTGGGAGAGTTGGGCAAGGCCTGTCCTTGCCACCTTCAGGAGCCGTGGTTGCCTTTTCTGTGAGGGGGCTGGTTGGAGACTTTCAAGGATGACATGATGTTTGTGAAAGTGCTCTGTACTGCCGAGCATCAAAAGAAAGAAGTTTGCTTATTGAAACTTATCTAGTGTAATAATATTTCACAGGTGGGGAAAATGAGGTCCAATGGCCTGCCGAGAAACACACAAGTCTATAGCAGAGTTAAACTCAGACCCTCTGAGGAATGCTTGAATCTGAAGGATTGACACAGAACGAATCTGAGTTGAGGGAGACATGAGCATGTACCTGGGCCCCCAACTACTGAGCTGCAGTACGAGAGACCAAGTAAAATTTAAGAAATAACTTCTCAGGAGGTGAGTGCTCTGGCCGTCCTGCGAAGAGCTGGGTGCCCAAGAGATGGTGGCTGGATATCTCCTGGGTACCTGGGTCCACGAAGGCTATCCAGAGCTCAGGATTTACCAAGATATTTGTGAACTGGACTCAGATTCAGTCCTTACAATAGCCCTTACATTGGTCACCCCCTTTACAGAGCAAGAAACTGAGGCCAAAAAAAAGGGAAAGGAGTCATTTTTCTGGGCCAGAACCTTTACATTTCTTAACCCATGTGATATTGTTGGCAGTGTTAATAAGTAAGACATACTGCCTCTAATTTGAAGATGCAATAAAATACATTGACTTGGCCTGGATCACTTAGTGACAGAGAAGCTTCCCACCCTTCCCCAGGCCCCTAGAAAAGATGCAAGAAGCGGGGCCTGAGAGGATTAAGGTAGCATCCAGGGAAGGCCTTCTAGAGGGGGTGGGCCTCCAACTGGTCCCTGAATAACAAGCAGGCTGACAGGATCTGGAGGGCACTGGGGGTGGGGAGGCATGGGGAAAGGCCTGGAGGTGAGAATGAGTCAATTACCCATCTTAGTAGAGCAGGAAGTATAACTTTAAGGAATGGTGGCAAGAAGGTCAAAGCTGGAAAAACAAGTCAGAGCTAAGTTACAGAGAGTCTGCCATGTCAGGCTGAGAGTTTGGGCTTTATTGTGCTGGTGGTATGGAGTCACTGAAGGGGTCTGAGCAGGGGAAGCAGCATGTCCAAAGCTGGGCTTCAGAAAGAGCGGTGGGAGAAATCCTGGCGTGGAGGTCCTTCCCCTGAGCTAGTGGCACAGCCAGGGCTCTGCCTAGCCTGGGTGCCAGGTGCCTGGACCGTGTCCAGTGACTCAACATTGAGGAAATCACTCCCCAGGGAGAAAGGGTCCAGATGAATCAGCCCAATCCTTGTGGGGAGGTGGGGAGGCTGGGGGCTCACTGAGTCACCCTCCAGGAGGCGCGTGTGTGCGTGTGTGCGTGTGTGTGTAGGGTGGGGGTAGTTGCAGAGAGAGAAGCCTGCAGTGCAGCGGGAAGGATTCAGGTCATGCCACAGCAAGGGCTGTCAGGGGACTCTGGCTGCCTTCCCTTCATTATCGGGGCTGATTATCCTGGCAGCCTTGTGAAAGAGATGGGGAAACTGAGGCCCTGAAGCTGGGAAGGGGATCTGATCAAGGTCATGCAGCAAGTCGCTGGCAAAGGCCAGGCAAGACCTAAGCGCACCCTCCAGTCCAGACACATCCTACAGCCTTAGCTGATCTAATCCCAAGCGAAGGAGGAACCGGGTGGGTCCAGGCAGGGAAATGGCCCAGGTGACACTCCCTTCTCCGCTCTCCCCCGACTCTCCCCCGACCCTCCCCCAGGCCGACGGCAAACAGGGCCGGGCTGCGCCGCCGCAATGGGACAGCAGGGGGCGCAGGAGCGTCACGGTTGCCGCGGGCGCCTGAGCACAGAGGCTGCTCTGCGGAGAACTGCGCTCCGGACGCGCGGGTCCCACCGCAGAACTGTGGACTATGTGGCCCTGGGACCTGCACCCTCTCCGGCTCCTAGGGACACCAGCGCAGACCTGCGTGCCAGGGGCTGGGGGCGCGGTACCCATACCCCCGACTCAGGAGTGGTGCGCCTGTGTGCGCTCTTGTGCCTGTGCGCACGTGCCTCCCTCAGATTTGCTGCTGCTCCCAGGGCCTGTCCGTCTCCGAGCGGCCTCTCAAATTCTCTCCGACTTCCTCCTTCTCCCTGGAAGACGAGCAAGCCCAGGGCTTCTTGTATCTGCCGGCGGCCCCTTTCCCCTACGTCCCCCCCGCTCCATCCCGCCTCACCCCACCAACCTCCTCCGCCGCTCTGGTCTCTGCCTTGGGTCTCTGACCTGGCTTCAGGACTTTTTCAGTGCCGGGGGCAGTAATGGGGATCCGCAGGTGATCAGTCGGGAGAGGGTCTCTGAGAAGGGACCCCCGAGAGGTAGTGACAGGAGTGGCGAAGGGGCAGGAGGAGGGGAGCGAAGGCTGAGAGCCGGCTGCCTGGCGGGGGATCCTAATAGCGGACCAGCTGCAAGAACCTTGAAAGCGGAGAGATGAGGGAGGTGAGAGCTGGTGGGGACTCCGGTGGGGTCCGGAGATGCGAGGAGCCGAGGGGTGCCGTCCGCGGTTGCGGGGAGGTAGGTTTTGTGGTTCCATATGAATTTTAGAACTATTTGT